GACACTGCCAACACCGGCGAGGCACTGAAACAACACAGGGGGTGACACTGCCAACACCAGGCGAAGACGCTGAAACAACACAGGGGGGTGACACTGCCAACACCAGGCAGGAGCGCTGGAAACAACACAGGGGGGTGACACTGCTGCCAACACCAGGCGAGGCGCTGAAACAACACAGGGGGGTGACACTGCCAACACCAGACGAGGCGCTGAAACAACACAGGGGGTGAGACACTGCCAACACCAGGCGAGGCACTGAAACAACACAGGGGGTGACACTGCCAACACCAGGCGAGCACTGAAACAACACAGGGGGGTGACACTGCCAACACCAGGCGAAGACACTGGGGAAACAACACCAGGGGTGACACTGCCAACACCAGGCAGGCGCTGAAACACACAGGGGGTGACACTGCCAACACCAGGCAGAGGCGCTGGGGAAACAACACAGGGGAGTGACACTGCCAACACCAGGCAGGGACACTTCTGGGGAAACAACACAGGGGGGTGGCTGCCAACACCTGGTGAGCCCTTTGAAACAACCTGGGGGGTAACACGCACCAACACCAGGCAGACGCTGAAACAACACAGAGGTGTTGCAACACCAGGCAGACGCTGAAGAGAACAACACAGAGGTGACACTGCCAGCACTGGGCAAGGCACTGAAACAACACAGGGGGTGACACTGCCAACACCAGGCGAAGGCACTGAAACAACACAGAGGTGACACACCATAGCTGGAGCAGAGGCACTGAAACAACACAGAGGTGACACACCAGGCGAGCTGAAACAACACAGGGGGTGACACTGCAGCACCAGGCGAGGCCTTTGAAATTAACACTGGGGGGTGACACTGCTGCCTGGGCAGGCACTGAAACACTGGGGGGGGTGGCCACTGCCAACACCAGGCGCTTCAAACACAGTGAGCCTGCCAGCACCAGGCAGGCGCAGAGAACAACCTGGGGGGGTGACACTGCCAACACCAGGCGAGCACTGAAACAACACAGGGGGGTGACACTGCCAACACCAGGCGAGACACTGAAGCAACACAGGGGGGTGACACCAGCACCAGGCGAGGCGCTGAAACAACACAGGGGGGGGTGACACTGCCAACACCAGGCCGAGGCACTGGGGAGCAACTGGGGGGTGACACTGCCAACCTCAGGCAGGCGCTGAAAAAAAGAACAACCCACAGGGGGGTGACCTGTAACACCAGGCGAGGCTGGAGAGCGACAACACAGAGTTGACACTGCAACTGGGCGAGAGGCACTGGAAACCAGCACAGGGGGTATTTACTGCCAACACCAGGCAGGCGCTGAGAGAACAACACAGGGGTGACACTGCCAACACCAGGCAGGAGCGCTGAGGAAACAGCACAGGGGGTGGCCTGCCAACACCAGGCAGGGCACTGAAACAACCTGGGGGAATTTGACACTGCCAACACCAGGCAGGCCTTTAAGAACAACACAGAGGGGTGACACTGCCAACACCAGGCAGAGGCCTTAAGAACAACACAGAGGGTGACACTGCCAACACCAGGCGAGGCGCTGAAACAACAGGGGGGTGACACACCGCCAACCTGGGCGAGGCAGAGCGACATACAGGGGGAGGTGACACTGCCAACACCAGGCGAGGCACTGAAACAACACAGAGGTGACACTGCCAACACCAGACGAGGCACTGAAACAACACAGGGGTGACACTGCCAACACCAGGCGAGGCGCTGAAACAACACAGGGAGTGCCTACCAACACCAGGCAGGCGCTGAAACCAACACAGGGGGTGACACTGCCAACACCAGGGCAGGCACTGGAGAACAACACAGGGGGGTGGCCTGCCAACACCAGGCAGGGCGCTGGAGAACAACACAGAGGTGACACTGCCAACACCAGGCGGCTGGAGAACAACACAGAGTTGACACTGCCAACACCAAGGCAGGCACTGAAACAACCACAGGGGGGGGTGACCACTGCAACACCAGGCAGGCGCTGAAGGCAACACAGGGGGTGACACTGCCAACACCAGGCGAGGCGCTGAGGGGAAACAACACAGGGGTGACACTGCCAACACCAGGCAGGGCACTGAAACAACACAGGAGAGACCTGCCAACGCCTGGGCGAGGGCACTGAAACAACACAGAGGGTGACACTGCCAGCACCAGGCGAGGGCGCTGAAACAACACAGGGGGGTGACACTGCCAACACCAGGCGAGGCGCTGAAACAGCACAGGGTGACACTGCAACACCGGGCGAGGCGCTGAAACAACACAGGGGTGACACTGCCAACACCAGGCGAGGCACTGAAACAACACCAGAGGTGACACTGCCAGCACCAGGCAGCGCTGAAACAACACAGGGGGTGGGCACTGCCAGCACCAGGCAGGGCGCTGGAAACAACACAGGGGGCACTGCCAACACCAGGCGAGGCGCTGAAACAACACAGGGGGGTGACACTGCCAACACCAGGCAGGAACACTGGAAACAACACAGAGGTGACCTGCCAACACCAGGCGGGCACTGAAACAACACAGAGGTGACACTGCCAACACCAGGCGGGGCACTGAAACAACACAGAGTGACACTGCCAACACCAGGCGAGCACTGAAACAACACAGGGGTGACACTGCCCAACACCAGGCAAGGCAGCACAGGAAACAGCACAGGGGGGTGACACTGCCAACACCAGGGCAGGCACTGAGAGGCGACAACACAGGGGGTGACACTGCCAACACCAGGCAGGCACTGGAAACAACACAGGGGGGTGAAGCACTGCCAACACCAGGCAGGCTGAGAGCAACACAGGGGGTGACCTGCCAACACCAGGCAGGGCACTGGGAAACAACACAGGGGGGTGACACTGCCAACACCAGGCAGTACTGAAACAACACAGAGGTGACACACCAACACCAGGCGAGGCACTGAAACAACACTGGGGAGATGACACTGCCAACACCAGGCAGAGGCACTGAAACAACACAGGGGTGACACTGCCAACTGGAGCGAGGGCACTGAAACAACACAGGTGTACTGCCAACACCAAGACAGGGCACTTCTGAAACAACACAGGGGGGTGACCTACTTAGCACCAGGCGGGCACTGGAAACAACACAGGGGGGGTGACACTGCCAACACCAGGCGGGCACTGGGGGAGCAACACAGGGGTGGCCTGCAGCACAGGCGAAGACACTACAAGAGCAACACAGGGGGGTGACACTGCCTCAGGCGAGGAGCACTGGAAACAACACAGGGGGTGGCCACTGCCTTTCAGGCAGGCACTGGGGAAACAACACAGGGGTGGCCTGCCAACACCAGGCAGAGCGCTGGGCAACACCAGGGGGGTGACACTGCCAGCAACACCAGGCAGGGCACTGAGTAACACAGAATTGACCTGCCAACACCAGGCGAAGGCCTTGAAACAACTACAGAGTTGTTGTGCACCAACACCAGGCAGACACTGAAACAACACAGGGGGTGACACTGCCAACACCAGGCGAGGGCACTGAAACAACAGGGGGGTGACACTGCCAACACCAGGCAGACGCTGAAACAGCACAGAGGGGGTGACACTGCCAACACCAGGCGAGACACTGAAGCCAGCACAAGAGGGTGACACTGTCAACACCAGGGCGAGACACTGAAAACAACACAGAGGTGGTGACACTGCCAACACCAGGCGAGGCGCTGATAACACAATGGGGTGACACTGCCAGCACCAGGCGAGGACGCTGAAATAACACAATGGGGCGGCCTGCCAACGCCAGGCGAGGCGCTGAAATAACACAGTGGGGTGACACTGCCAGCACCAGGCGAGGCGCTGAAATAACACAAGGGGTGACACTGCCAACACCAAGCGAGGCGCTGAAATAACACAATGGGTGACCTGCCAACTGGGCGAGGACGCTGAAATAACACAAGGGGTGACACTGCCAACACCAGGCGTGGCGCTGAAATAACACAAGGGGTGACACTATCCCAGCACCAGGCGAAGGCACTGAAATAACACAAAGGGGTGACACTGCCAACACAAGGGGTGACACTGCCAAGCCAACACAAGAAATTGACACTGCCAACACAAAGGGGGTGACACTGTCAACACCAGGCAGAGGCGCTGAAATAACACAAGGGGGTGACACTGCAACACCAGGCAGGCACTGAAACAACACAGGGGTGGTGACACTGCCAACACCAGGCAGGCACTGAAACAACACAGAATTGGTGACACTGCAACACCAGACAGAGAGCGCTGAAATAACACAATGGGGGTGACACTACCAACACCAGACAGGCCTGAAATAACACACAAAATTGACACACCAACCTGAGAGACACTGCCAACACAAAGAAGTGACACTGCCAACACAAGGGGGTGACACTACCAACACAAGGGGGTGACCTATACCAACACAAAGGGGTGACACTGCCAACACAAGGGGGTGACACTGCCAACACAAGGGGGGTGACACTGCTAACACAAGGGGGTGACACTACCAACACCAGACAGAGGCCGCTGAAATAACACAAGGGGTGACACTGCCAACACAAGGTGGCCTGCCAACACAAGGGGTGACACTGCCAGCACAAGGGAATTTGACACCAACAGCTTCTAAAGGGGGTGACACTGCTAACCTGGGGGGGTGACACTGCCAACACAAGGGGGTGACACTGCCAACACAAGGGGGTGACACTGCCAACACAAGGGGTTGACACTGCTAACACAAGGGGGTGACACTGCCAACACAAGGGGGTGACACTGCTAACACTTCACTGATCACAAGGAATATTGTTTACCCTTCACCCGAGTTGTAAACGAATCTGTCTACAGTTGTTTGTTGTGTGTCTCTGGAGAAGGAACACCGAGACAGAATAAACGCTTACACAAGACGACGCTGGCACGCGTGTACACTCCCAGGACAAGTGTAAGTGCATCACTCAACCAAACATTCCACCTATTCGCTTAATTGAAAGGTCAAGGAACCAAAACAAAGTGTGGGAGGTACTCACCGGGGGCAGTGGGCGGGCTGGGTGGCAGTGCATGCAGCCCACTTCCACCTGGTTAGGCAGCAGCGGCACCGACCCGTCCAGAAGGTGGTGACGGTTCAGCAGCGCCAGGGATTGCTTTGGGTACAACTCGAAGGGATCCGGGAGGTCTGGGAAGGTGTCCCTGAGGGCAGCGGCCAAGGGACGCCCGACGGTGCGGCGGAACGAGTACCTGAGGAGGATGGTGGCGAGCGTGTTGACGAGTCGTTCCCACAGGGAGAGGTGATTGTCGAAGGGCACCACAATGGAGGGAAGGGCGGCTGGGGACACAACGTTACCCAGGTACGACAACTGCAGCGGCTCCGTCCCTGCCGGCGACAGAGTGATGAACGGCGCCGTTATGTCCAGGAGGAATGGGAACGCCATCTCGTTCGCGGCGCTGTTGACGATGACGGCGTCGAACTTGTCCCTACGTCGCCAGAGCTCCATCACTTTGGGGTTACCGTACATCTCCCGCGCCACAGCAGGGAAGGCCTTCATCCACAAGCGGAAGACGGCGCCGCCCTCACGAACTTCGAATAAGTCCATCTGGTCGAGGGCTGAGTGCGGGGACACGACGTGGGTGACGTTGGGGTGCCGGGGGAAGGGCTCCCCGCTGGACAGGAGGGTGACAGTGTGGCCCCGAGCCACTAGACCCTCCGTCAACACCGAGAATAATGCACGCACAGACCGAGACCCAAACGGAGTCAAGACGAGGATATCGGCGGCGGTGGCTGGGGGAGGACCCAGAGCCATGAGTGCAGTCGCCGCCACCACCAAGCACGCGGCCTTCATCATGCACTGACCGCTCGCCCACACTCGGGCCTCCAACCTTCGCGCTCGCAACAACAGGTAACTCGAGAGCCTCGCACGCCCAACTCTTGCTTGTATCCGTTAGCAACTCAGGTAAACAAGGCGCTAACGCCTACTGTGTGAGGCCGAGGATTATGAGCTGGAGGTTGGGTGGAGGTGAGGGCGGGTTAGTGTGAGTGTTGGAGGCTACCACCAGGCTGGCTCACGGAGACACACATCCAAGTAGCGTGACAGAGGTAAGGTCAGGACGGCAGTGAGGAGCAGAGTGGCGGAGCTGTGTAATCAGAGGCAGTGTGGCGGTGTTGTGAGATAAGGGGAGGAGACCAACCCCAGGCCAGGTGGAGATGACCTGCTACCCACCACCCGCTGGCACCACCTGCATGCCTCGCGCACAGCTGGTTCTCACCGTGGACCTTTCTTACCCTGGATCACGCGGCGGATCACTCGGGGTCCAAAGGAATCGCGGCGGAGGTGATGAGTCTCACTGGCAACCCGTGACCACGGCGCTACACCCCGCCCACCCCGGGGCGACCCTCACACACACTCTACGGTCATAACGCTCCTACACTCACTGCTTGCTGCCTTGGGTACACACACACACACATGCTTGAATAATACACACAGGTATCTGCATTCACACACATACACACACACATGCACACGCTTTTCCCGTGTGATTTTATCAAGATATATATATATATATATATATATATATATATATATATATATATATATATATATATATATATTTATTTATTTATTTATTTATTTATTTATATAAAGAGAGAGCCGTGTATAGAATTAAAAAACAGAAACACAAACAGAAGACAGAAATAAGTCAGGGACCTCGCGTGTAATACGTTTTACATTGAATCACTGTGTGTGGGGCGGGCGGGGGGGGGGAGGCTGCCTCTCTACTGTAGTTCTTTATTACACGCTACGTTATTTCTGTGATAGAGATTGGTAGATAGCACAGTTATATTTTCGTCAACACAAAAATCTAGGAGACTGTGACACAAATCATACCAGTGATCTGTGTGTTCGTCAGTCTGTGGTCTATATGTGTGTACAAAGCGAGACCTGTGCCTGGAGCAAACAGTGATGAAGCTTTGGTAACACCGACCTCAAGATTATCCCCCAAGATTTTATTTTACCTGATGATTTAACACCCTAATGGTACCTGGAGGATTAGGGTAGATTAGGTTAGGTTAGTGATAGATTAGGTTAGTGTTAGGTTAAGCTAGGTTAACCCCAGCTGCTTCGCCAGAAGGACACGTGCACGGCTCTACCCTGACACCCGCTGCTCAGCTCTTGGCACACCTCAGGGCTTTCATGTGTGTTCACGTCCTACACCGTGAACCATGAGCACTACAAAGACATTCCTGATACTCTTGACCCACATGTTACCTTCTAACCTCGTATGTGCTTCCAATAATCCCCAAACACCTGTGATGTATTCAATATTATATGGCGTCTGTTTAAATCTCATGTGCTTGTTACAGTTGCCAACAGTACCAGGTTTGACCATATTTACGTGTCAATATGTAGTCAATAAAGAGATTAACAGAGAGAGTGCTACTAAAAAGCATTACCTTGTATTTATGTTATAGTTATCCCAAAAACGTACCCTGGCTGGCATATTTTCTATGAAAGTGATTATAAAAAATGTAATATTTTAAGGTAAACTTAGATATTTTGTTATATATGCTGTACAGTTTATAGCAACGTCCTGTTATATTTAAGTAATTGCCAAACTCATTAGATATATATACTACTACAGAGATGTATGTAACGTGATATAGTTTATGGTTCGTGTGTCAAAGTATTATTAGCCAATTATAATGTTATTCTGTGTGTTAATTATTTATATACTATTTCTCTTTCTCTATTTTCTATCTTACTCTGTTTGTGTTTCTATCTCTGTCTCTCTTTTTCTCTGTATCTCTATGTTTGTTTTACCGCTCTCTAACTCCCTCTCTCTCTCTCTCTCCCTCTCTATCTCTCTCTCTTCCCGCCATTATGTTCACCATTAAATAAAATAAAATAAAATAAAACTAATTTTCTTTCATATTTCCTGGATACATGTGTCTTTAAATATACCAATAGATATATAATAGGTGATAACAGACAAGGACATGATATCTTAGTGTGTGTGTGTGTGTGTGTGTGTGTGTGTGTGTGTGTGTTATCTGGTGATAGAGAGCCACTTGGTACTGTAGAGATAAATACAGTGTAAGATGATCTGAGGGAGCTGTTGCACCATCACCACTACTATCATCACCACCACCACCACCACCACCACCACAACTACTACTATCGGATTACATGAAGATTAGACACCCTAGGTTATTTTCACCTGGTGATTGAATTGTCTAATGCTACCTTGAGGGTGAAGTTAAAGTTAGGTTATATTTGGTTAGATTAAGTTAATGTTAGGTTAAGTTAGCTTATATTTGGTTAGGTTACGTTAGTTAGAGAGGGAGAGAGAGAGAGAGAGAGAGAGAAAGAGGTAATGTGAATGTGTTTACGTTCAGGTGCGTGGGTCTGGTAAACACAGAGAGCCATCTTTTGAAACGATGTAAACACCCAAACTCTCTCTCGCTCTCTCTCTCTCTTAAAGCACCAGAAGCAATATTATCCATCTATTTGCAATCCTTCGTCAAGCCAAAATAGTCACAACTTGACTATACACTCACGATCTCTAAGTCATGTGTGTCTTTACATTAACGACATCTCAGCTACGTCATGCTTATTAACATTCATGAGGCTCGAATAACGTCATACTTATCCTGCGATTACAAATGATTTTTTTTAACCCTTGCTGATAGATCACATACATTTACGGTGTTAATAGACATACAGACTATCAAAGTGAGATATGATTGGTTTACATTCACCCAAACGTGACACCTGGGAGTATTTTTGGATACGTGAAGAGGAGGAGGAGGAGGTATGGTCGACATGTTAGCAGTGGGCAGAGGTGGACTGAGCTTGCTCTAGAAGGGTCTTGGCTCTCTCCCTTCCCTCTATAGAAGCTTTGATAGGTTAAAACCCCTTAAACGGAGCATATATAAGAGGGATTAATTGTGCAATGAACCCCTGAAGGAGGACAACTCGTGGAATAGATTAACGGAGCTAAAAATCCTTCCAAATCTCGTGGAGCTGATTAAGGTGTTTAATCATCAGGTGAATTAAGTTTAGTGTGTCCACCATCAACGTCTCCACCACCACCAGTCAGGCATGAACACGGACGAAGAAGCCAAGAGTGATGATGACTATAACGGTTAGTGTTCATTCCTATCCTGTTACAGACTGACTGACAGTGACTGTACCGCGGTTAGTTACAGTGACTGGTGTGTGTGCAGAGACAAAACAGTTACAGTGATTGATGTAAAATAAGCTAGGATGATTAATCTTCAGGTAATCCGGGAAAAAGACTGGAAAACGAGACTAACCTTTGGTCGTGTGGTCGGCAGGGTTGGTGGGCAGTTGGTGGCAGCGGATGAAGGAGAACGAGCGACTGAGAAAGGCTGCTGGTCACGTGTCTTTCTTCCTGGTCCTTGTTCTGTACACTAGCCTGGGGGCCAAGGTAAGACACAGGTAAACTTAGATAGATAGATAGATAGATACATAGATAGATAGATATATGATTTTGGGATAATATTGCAGAAAACAGCAACCACAGAATTACAGAAATTCACTACACTCAATCGATAGAAATATTTTTTTTTATGATAATTTTCTTATATTACATTAGGTTAGGTTAATTAACACATATTTTATCAGATTCTTTGGTTGCTGTAATCTTCAATTTTTCCGATTTTTTTTTTTTTTTTAGAGATCTACAAAATATACATCAATAAATGTAAAATCGGGCTAAACGAAGGATTTGCTAAAGGGATAACATGCGTCTAAGTTAGGAAGATCAATTACTAAGATAAACACAAGTACAAAAGAAGACTATAGGCGAACACAAACCTTAATGCCTGACAAACAATAGTTTACGCTCGGCTTAAGTTTATAATGAGAGAGATTAAAGAGCCGATCAGTAAAGAGAATTTTTAAAGTCCGTCTCATTGGATGTCTGGCTGAGAACTTTAAGTGTTTATTGGAGACTAAAGTACCTTGAATATAGAGTGGTTGGAGTTGGACTGTCGTAGTACTAGTAGGAGTAAGGAGGGCAGCATTTGTGTGGACTGTGAACGCGTACCAAACAAACACCCAGGTCAAATCAACACCCAAATTATGAACTCAGTATGTCTTTAAAAAAAACCTATGTTATATGAGTGTGTAAATAATTGATAAATAAGCTTCGTGTCATTAAATATAGTATTAGTTGTGTTTTGACCAGGGTTTATTGCTCGGAATCAAGGTAAAGTATAATTATAAAGTGTAGGTGTGTTTCTAGGGTTGCAGTACAAGGTATAGGTATAGGTGTGTTGCAGGTGTTTCAGGTGTTGGAGTATAAGGTAGAGATGAGGAATCAAGAACAGGTATGGACACACCTGCAGGAGAAGCGACAACAGCTGATTGAACAGGTATTAAACTTAACGTCCCTCCAACAACAACAAGAAGATGATGGTGAGGCTCACTTTATCACTATAGTGTTAAGTTGGCGTTAATTTAGGCTAGATTAGTATTCAGTGATCATCTCTAAAATATAAATTGAGAGTTTGAAGACATTAGCTCAATAACACATTTAGTGGCTACGGTGCAAACTAGCAGACAACTAATTTACCTTTAGAATTAACCCATTGACGTTTATTATGAATATTTGGAGAATAATGGTTAAGGCCAAATGAACTTTAAGCTTTCCTCACCTCAAATAAAATAAAATTTATAAGGAAACATGAGAATTGACTCGGTAAAATCCATTCACAGGTGTTCAGATGGTGACAGATGAACCTGGGACGGAGGAGCTGGTGTGGCAGTGGTTGAGGGAGTACGAGGTGGTGATGGAGGAAAGCGAAGGGGCGGGAGTGTCGCCTCTGGACACACAGATACACACTCGCTGGGCCTACACTCAAGCCCTCTTCTTCAGCGCCACCGTCCTCACCACCATAGGTCAGTTACAACTCCTCAAGGGTCGTGTCTATAAATATTCACTTCATGTTTGTTTATGAGTCGTATCTCAAACTCCCTCCATGGCTATAAATACCAATAAGAAGGTCGTACTTGATAGTTCCTCTGAGCTAAGTGCATATTAAAGGTCGTATCTTCAAGTCCATGTTATGTTAAGGATTGCTGGCTGAGTTCCGACAACATACAACACTTACAAGGAAAGTCTTCTCGGAAGAAAAAGAGAGATAGAGAGAGGGAGAGAGAGAGAAAGATAAATCTCCGTCTCCCCCAAACAACAGCCACATCTCCCCAGTACCAACAACACCCCCCCCCCACCCACCCTACAGCACCGCCTCCCCCACAGGGTACGGTAACATCGCGCCGTCGACGGTGGAAGGGCGAGTATTCTGCATGGTGTACGCCTTAGTTGGGATCCCCTTAACACTCTCCGTTATAGCTGACCTAGGCGACGTCTTGGCCTCCTTCATCCCAGCCAACACCTTTGAAAACCGTCTCCCCAAGTACGTGAATTCTTTATTCCTAAGTATAGGGTCAGTGATACTCATTTGGATATAATTATTGAATAAACACTCAATTTAAAAAGCCTATGATGTGTAACCTGGATGGGGTGAGGGTGCACTGTGTTGTACACCTTTCTGTATGTTATTGCAGGTTCTCAGTGGGCCCTTAGCTGTGCTCGGTGGTGCTACTGTAGGCATGAGTACAATATGTTTTTAGTGACTTTAGTGCTCAATTGTTTTAGCTCGAGGCGTAGGCGTATTTATAAATTATGTCTCACCAATGACAATTATTCCTTCAATTCTCTCTTTCTACTTGTATATATTCATTTATTTATTATTTCCCTTGCAATCTCTTTCTATTATTGTCTCCCATTTTCTCTTTCCCTTGCTTTAAGATTTAAGCTTAACAGAAAACGTTCCCCTTAGAGGAAAACTTCGAGCGGTAACTACAGTACTCTTGATCCTGACCCTGCTGGTGGGGTTCATTGCCTTGGGCGGGGTGCTCTTCATGTGGCAGAACAACTGGACCTTCATGGAGGGTTTCTACTTCTCCTTCATCACTACCACCACCATAGGTTTCGGCGACCTGGTTCCTGGTACGTAAAGGAAGGGAAGATTGGGGACATAAGGGTGACCTGAAATGATTGGTGGTGATTTGGTTTGGGTTGTGGGAAGTCAGAAATTGTTGTAGATGGGTTAAAGTGGTTAATATACTATTTCCACTAACCCCTTCACTACGAGGAAGCCACTTTTAATAATTTATTTGGGTAATGTCAGACCATTTTTTTCAGTTCCTTGTCTCAGGGTCACACAGTTCATTAACTCAGGGTATGCCTCTCATGTTGTCGATAACGTGTCAGTTCTTTTTACCTTAAACAAATTCATTCCCAGGTGACTTGAGGGCTGGCCAACCTAATTCAAGCATAATTATTTTTTCTCTTGCTATTATACTTAACTAATAATTTTTTTTAACCATTTTAATAAGTATTCAATTGTTGTTATTATTATCATTATCATCTTTGTCCCTCATATATGACTGCTTTATTTCAATGTGGTAGAGAGGTCATGTCACTTGAGTATGTTTCTGTACTTTTAGTAATGAACTGTTTTTCTCCCTATTGCTACATCTCCTCCATGACACATCCCTCTACCCACACACCACTCTCCCTACACCCACACACCACTCACCCTACACCCACCCATCTCCCACACAGCCACATCAACCCTCTGCATGCTCTACATCATTCTAGGACTAGCCCTCACATCAATGGTGATTGAGCTGGTGAGGCGAAAGTATGCCTCATCGTGGGCCCAAATGAAACAGCTCTCCTCCCGTCTCCACACACTCTCTGGGCCCTTAGCAGAAGCCATGAGGAAGCTGGCAGAGTCTGGTGCAGGGGAGGTCAGTTTAAGTTAATGGGTAGTTGGAATGAGAGTGAGGAAACCAATATACTTATCTCCTGTGTGAATTTCATGTACCAATGGGGAATTTGGTCTGAGAATAATCATGTTAATGTTTGCCGTTATCTCTCCTTCAACTGTACTGTGCTCTGTTTACATGTATCAGGTGGAGATGGATGAAGAGCTGGTGCGTGAGCTGAGGGACCTGAACGTGGCCCTGGCTAAGGTGCAACAGGAGGAGACAGGGACAGAAACAGTGACAACAGGCAACGAGGACGCCTGGGCAGCTCTCCTCGACATGGCTGCCAAGAAGAAGCGAATAACAGTCGTCATGTATGAGAGCAATGTCTGAGCTCCACAGATTTCATATTTAGATGAATTTTGTAACATTAATAATACTATATGTCTACTGACTGGTTGATACAGTATATTTCTTCCTCATCAAACTCACTCACTGCTTGGTGTGTCTGACCCTTAACCCCTTCACTACGGGGAAGCAACTTTTGATATTTTATTTGGCCAACGTCAGATGATTTTATTCAACAATGAGTTAAATACTGCTCAGGCTAATTCTCAGTCACCAATGTTAGTCTATGTTTAACAACCCATAAATGTCTAAAAAACATGACAGTAAAATATCCCTCTGTGTTTGTTGTCAAGATTCTAATGTCGTCAAACTAGTTACTCTACAAATGAATTCAGACATTTAATGGATTCACTTAACATTAAATGTGTGTTAACTCTCAGCTTAAGGTGACTGAAACAGTAAAATAATAACACTGAATAAGGTTAAAGAAGTGAAGAAAGGACATAAGGCAAAGGACCCACGAGCATGTAAGGAAAATGAAGAAAATGTCCTGGAGATTTCTGTGACATAGCCAACCTCCCTAGGGAAGTATCTGGGTATGAGGGGGCTAGAGGGACATAACACACAGTACAAAATACAGTATTACATAATATTTGTGGATCTGTGTAAGTCTAATTCCGGTATTATAACCAAAGAACCTGATATATGGCATAGTTCTTTTTATTTACATGATGGATGTGTTAAAATTCATGGGAAATGTTGGTAACCAGATTTTCGGATGTGTTTTTATGCTAAAGTGTGACACAACATAACAGTTAATTAAGATAAATGAATAAAACCAACTCTCTCTCTCTCTCTCTCTCTCTCTCTCTCACTCTCTCTCTCAGTGAATAATTAAATCAAGAATACTCTCATTTTTATTATTTTCTTACACCCGTATATCATGGTTTATGACACTTCGTTCAGGGAGAAACTATGACCTATCTACAAATGGTCTAGTACCTGTATCTACACATAAATTTGAACATAACCTTTTTCTACACACACACACAACAACCTTGACTAGACTTTCCATATGTCACTCATAAATTACATCACCTCTTGCTCTTCTGTAATGATTGCCAATTTACCCATTATACCAATTACTAATTATTTACTTTACAATTTTTTTTTATGGGGGTAATAAAGGAAAATTAGATTCTATAATTATCACTACACATAATAATTAATATACATCAACTTATCCTTCTTTTAATCACTTGGGATAGCTTAAAATAACTTAAATAGAGACATTAATGAGAAAGGTACTGGTATCCCCTAAAGACACAACGAAGCTAAAACAATAATACTGTACTGTATATATAAAGCAAGGTGAAGTTACATCACTTGACAACTTAACCTAAACTTTAACATCAACTCACAACCTCAATTTGTTACATCAGACGCCTCCAAAAAAAAAAATCACAGGATTCTTTAACCCCTTGAGTACAATGACATTAACCCCTTGAGTATGATAACCCTAACCCCTTGAGTACAATGACATTAACCTCTTGAGTATGATAACCCTAACCCCTTGAGTACAATGACATTAACCCCTTGAGTATGATAACCCTAACCCCTTGAGTACAATGACATTAACCCCTTGAGTATGATAACCCTAACCCCTTGAGTACAATGACATTAACCCCTTGAGTATGATAACCCTAACCCCTTGAGTACAATGACATTAACCCCTTGAGTATGATAACCCTAACCCCTTGAGTACAATGACATTAACCCCCTGAGTATGTTAACCCCAATTCATTGAGTATGAGGACCTTAACTTTTGAATAGACAATGACACTAAACCTTGCCCCTTGCATACTATGAATTAGTTGTTGTACTCAAGGGGTTAAGCACCAAGAGGTGAGCCTCAGACTGACACAAACCTGGCTCTATTGTAGACAAGGACAGACAAACACACAAGGGCCATGGCCATATCTCAAGCCTGGTCATGGCGACTGTACCTTAAGAATCTCTAGAGGTTTATCATAATCAAGGTTGTTGTGTATGTATGCTGAACACCAATCTGATAACACTGGCCAATCAAGTGTGACACCAACCTGATGAGTCGTAACAATATACCAGTCTATCTCCATTTGGATTTGACCAACCTGTACTGTATTAGGCATCTAGTTCCTATTAACAGTCAATGAAAATAAAAAAAATACCAAGTGATAAAAAGTCCTATGGCACTTAAGAAACAAATCAAGTCTTTAAATCTTTTGCACATATCAATTTCCATAAAAACTACAAAAGTAATCACATTAAAAAGATTTATTCCTTGTCTTTTTTTATCATCACAGCTATTTAAACAACACTAGTAAATAAATAATACAGTCATATACTGTATACTTAAAAATTAAATTACCTTTTTTTTCCTATGATAAAAATTACTTCGGCATTCCAAATTATAGTTACCAATTGTGTTTTAGAATGACCGTGACATGAAAAACCTCCTTCTCATTGTGTCTATTCTTCATGGTACCAAATTAATCTACACATTTATGCATTTTCTAAATAACAGACAGTATAATTATTATCAAAATACAAACGTCCAGTGAATATAAAAAATACATATCTTACCATTGTATTTCTGTTCGGTGAAATTGCCTAAAAAAAATTTATTATGTCGTCTGAGTGTAAGTTAAAATACATACCGTACGAACATTAGTAACTGTACACAAAAAACACCAGCGGATGATCTGATCTGCTCGTGACGTGAGTTTGTCTCGGCTCGTCTCAGAAGGGAGAATTCATTCCCAATTTTGTGCCAAATTCCAGTCTCGCTCTCTTTTGATATCTGACATTTACTCTGTGGATAAATAATGAGAGTCAAAGAATATCATGCGAGTTATTTCTCAAATTTAATATACAAAAACTGAAATGGAATTGTTCTAAAATTTAAGCAAAGGACTAACGTTTTTTTTTATTTTTACTTTTAATTAGTGATTAATATTACATCACCATACACTCGCTCCAAAATGCATCCTTACGACTTTGTGCGAGACAATATGATGCAACGGATGAAGGATTTTGACAACCCTACCGAGACAACGGGAGTAACGGTGTTCATTTTGGAATTTAATGGACCTCCTCTGTAAAGTATGGAGCGAGTGTACAGGTTTTTAGGTTAATGTGGCCTTATGACATACAACCATGAATGAAATAAAGGGACGATGAATGAAGTGAAGCCAACACTCACCTTATTTCTCTTCTTTTGATGATTTCATTGAGAGGAATGAGCAAGAAAGGCCATATGAATGCCATCAACCACAACCACGCAGGAATATCAGACAGACCGGGACCTCTGGGTGTTTGCTTTGAGCCAGACAAACACACACCCCCATACACAACCTGAAGTACCAAACTGGGAAGAAGAAAACATAAATTATCTCTCTCTACATGATATAAATAAACTCATATGAAGTAAAATAATAAATATCACACAGTCTTTGACATTCAGTGTTCCAAACTAATGATTCCTGTATGTAAAATGGTAAGAGATTCTACAACATAACTATAAAATAATATTTTTTTTTACTCATTCTAGCATACTACAGGATCTTTTATGTCACATTTGAATACAGGAGGGTATATAGAGTTCTTCCTGTCTGTCTGTCTACAAAATTTCTTCCCTTTCAGTAACTTGAGTGAGACTTTGTAGAACGAAATGAATTAAAAGGTAAGGACTTCAGTTTGAGAGAATGACTCACACAGCAAACACACTGGAGGCCCACCACCTGTTAGTGAGAGGGTTCTTTGTCCACAGTTGATACATCCGGTGCACAAATGAAATTGAGATCATACCTGAAAAATATAACACAAAGTGGTAGAGGAAGGATGTCTCGTAGGCTGGCTGTTTACATCAGTAACACAAGCTACTTTAAACACGGAATGCAAGATCAGTTTCTGCATTAGACATAAACTATTACAAATTAGAACAGGAAAATCATCTAATCAACTCGGTTTTTACCTTAGTTTGAGAAAGCTAAGTAGAGTAATAACAATAAAGCAGAATTTTTACCAACTTATGATATTTGAGACGACAGTGTAAGAACTTTTTGTCTTATCACTACAGATAGTCAAACTAGGCCAGTTGTTTGGACACTTTCCTTTTGGCAAGCAACATGTATATTCTCAGCTGAAAACTAAAAGGAAAAATACACAAGCAGTTGTATTCTTGGGCAACAAGTAAACTGAGCATCATTAAGCATACTCTTCCCTTAAAGCTGAAATACCGAATGACTTGACCCAAACTTGCAGCCTGGGTCAATGAAAACGTGAAGTGTCAATCACTGGCAGATACTTTAAGAATTTACAAACAGGAATTCTCATATACCTTTCAAGTTGGTTAATAGAGTAAATAATAATAATAATAATAATAATAATAATAATAATAATAATAATAATATAGGTAAGTTGCATTTGGAAAGTTATATTATACTGAGTAACCCAAAACAGAAACACTATACTGGAGCTGAACCCATAATAAGTGGTGATCTGTTCCTTAGAAATAGTGTAAAGAGACATTGTCACCTGACCCGTCCACAACTTATCTACCAGACAGGTCTTAACTAACTACAAGATGCTGACTTTGACAATTATCTGACTTTTATAATCATTAAGCTGAAAATCTCTTCAAAAGTCTCACTGGACAATGTTTATAATATTTAAAATTATTTGGCTTTTGACTGCAGAAATATTAAGCAAATTACAGTATATAACATTAATAGCAAAGTTCTTCACGAGTCATTCAGTATTCAACATGGGAGATTACTAACAGAAAAACACACACTTATGGATATACTTTTCTGTTCAACTGACACAAATCCTTTCACTACAACTAAGTCAAAAGCAGAAAATGGAAAGGAAAGTAACTTACAGATGTAGAAAACCAGCAGAAACGCAACACCATTTTGTACAGCGTTCAGGGAATCTGCATAAACGTCTCCCCAGCCTTTCCATGATCTCTGTTCATCATAATTTGTACTGAAATGAATAATAAAAATAATAAGCAATGTGGAACAAGAGAATAAGGACGAACCTGTGAATCTCCTCCTGTGGGTAGAGAGGAATGAGAACAAGACCTATGGAGAGGCCACTAATGCTACTGTTAAGAGTCACTGGTTCCTTCTGCTTCTCTATACTGACAGTAGATTGCTGGCAATAATCTCCTAACTCACACTACAAAGAAGACAGTTCAATGTACGACTCATAGTGGTGAGAGCTAGGAGTTAAACTGTGGCTGGTGATGGAGGGACCATGATCTATAGACGTGGTGATGGGGGAAACTCTATCAGGAGATGGAAATAAGGACTGCCTTATACACATCCAAAGGGTTAATACTCATCTCATATTGGCTAAAGTCTTAAAGATTCTGTCTACTGGTAACAAAAGAACACTATCCATCCCTTCTCTAACATGTCAGAAACTTTCATCAGCTAAAGACTGGCACACAGAGAGGGGGAAATGAATACAATATACGGTAAGTAACTCAACAATAAGATAAAACGTGGCTCTTTCAGGCCCCGGATAACTGTGGATATGAAATATCTTGTTTTAGATAAGAAAGCTTTATAAGTTACTGATTTTTTAATTATTTTTTTTTAACTGCCAGGGTTAGTTACAACATTCAATCTCTGTTTTCTGTTAAGTTAAGAACTGGGCATAGTACACCGTGTATACTAGTACCGTACACAAAGTACATTACATGAATTAAACTTATCCATTCTTGGATCTAAATGCAGGAGTTTTTTTCAGTGAAAAAGCAAATAAATTATCTCCCCTGGCTGGGGATTTTGGGCCAACTTTTGATTATGACTGTACAGTACCTACAGCAAGTAGTGCACAAACTTACTGCCAAAACCACATTCCAAAGTTTATTTTCAATTCAGCTTTTTAAAACTTAAAGATGTCCCTACAACTGTAACACAAAAATTAGCTTCCACTTAACATCTTATTTTTTTTTAGTTTTCCAAACATTTTCTGTTGTGAAGGAGTACGGTGAGGCAAGTGATGATCCCAGATTCTGAACATTCAACAGCTGGTGAATTGCCTCACTGCCTTGCTAATCAGCAGTGTACTAATTACAGTATATTGTACTAATTATGTGATGGTAACAGGTCAAATTTGTCCTAACCTAACCTAACCTATTAGGACTGGGGCCCACCTAATGGCTTGAAATCCTAAAGCAGTACAGTAGTTAGATTAATTTTGGGCCTATTAGAAATGGAGTCAATCTGACCTGCAACCCAATTTACTGCTGAGTCTGTCCCAGGTTGTAAGAAACCCAGTTTTAAGTACAGTATACTGGAGCAACTCTTGTTACTGTACCAGAACCTTACTGAGCTGAGGTATGAATCAAAGTGTTTAAGTGACTGAATGGGAGAAGGTGAAGGTTCTGCTAAAATAATTTATTTCAGTATAATGAATTTTGTGGAAACGGATATACTGTACAGTACTGAAGTTAATGGCATCCAGGAGGTCTGACCTGAGGGACAAAAATCTCATCTGAACCTGAAAGGGAAGGAGTGAAGGAGTCACCCCGAAGTATTATGATGTAATGGGAAAAAACTACTTTGAATAATAAAAAAAGGAGAGGTTTTGCAAGGTTAAGATCAGCCCAGTGTTGGGTTGACCTGCACGAGGGTTAGGTAGTAGAGGTAATCTTTTTAACAGTAGTCTATGCTCATTACAAAGCCAGCCATGCTTGTTTCTCTGAGCGATGCAAGAATGGTTTATCCTATAACTCCCGGGGTCGTAAGGTAACCTCGTTTACACATGCATCGTGCAGAGAGCAATACTTATGAGGATCATTAGATAAAAATATTGCCTTACAGCCTGGGAAAGGGCAGTGCCGATGAATAACTAGCAGAAACTTGTCCAACGGATTCACCTGAAAACGATAATCATGTAAATAATAAATGTTTGTGTAAAAACTCCTGCATTTTAATATATTATGCCCAGAACTTGTTAACAGGCCAATGTATATAGTGTCATGTTGTGCTGAACTTTGTAAGATGAACTATCCAAACTGAATACTGTAGTAAGAAGCTTCTGGCTCAAAAGCTTCATAACCTCCTGAGTGTGTAGACTTGTTCATCTACATCACAGGTTTCTGGAGTGTATACATATCATATGGAGTAATGAACTCTGGGAAATATCAACCAACAGCAAGAAACACCACTTCAATGTTGATGGGTTCAAAGACCCAGTAAAAAGTCTAATATCAAGGTCTTGAAAATTGGACAGGTAGCCCAGGAGAGCCCAAGCCCATCACTACCTGTGTAGGGAGGAAGAGATCCCCAAACAAGTCCACAGGGATGAATTAGTGCAACACAAGGGCTGTTCTGGTACTCACATGAGACACTACAGCTCTAAGTTAAGGTCGGGTGAAGATCCACTGTAATGTATTGGGCAGTAAAACAATTTATTTCCTCAAGAATCCTGAAACTTTTTGTGTCACACGGACAATAATAAATAATAAACTTATCTTATTTCATCAAACAAGCACTGAACTTCTAATTTAATCTTAATAAAGCAAATTAAAAATCATTATAAATTCACTGTTTATAAAGCTCACTTATATACAGTAGAGTATTTAGAAACTCCCCTTTTGTGGATGCCGGTGAAGTCTCCAATACTGAACTAAGAAAGGATGCACTAGTGTCCCATGTTCTACCAATATTAGTAATAAATAGCGGTGTACACAAGTGATAATATTAACAGAATTAACTGATAATAATACAAGTATATGCTGATGTTAACATACAGGACAAAGTTAACACAGCAGGAATGGTAGTGCGTGTCTGTGCTGATGTGTCTGGGCGTGAGACCGACCTTTTGTGAAGACCTGATTCTAACTAAGGGGGTGTTGATTAAGTGAAAGGAGCTTTGTGGTGTTCCAAGTACCACTCAACCCATAGAACCTAACACTATATGCTGCTTAACTTCAATTCTTTGCTGCCAGGGTAACATGTGATCTTTGACTGGAACAACAAAATCTCTCCATGGGTCTCCTCCTTTTTTTTAGCCACAAAATACAATTCACAAGTTTAATCCTTCGTACACTGTGAAAATTATCAATGAAATATAAAGTGGTACTCAATTTCATTTCTAGTTGCCAAGTTTCCTTAATCCCAACCCTCCTTATTACTCATCATTTCCATGTCTATACTTGGTATCTTCTGTGCTGCAGGAATCTTCATTTTCTTCATAACTCAAACACACAGCATATGATGAGTGTTTTCCTGTGACAGCTTGAGGCCTTGCAGAAGTTTTCAGTTACTGTGTTCATTATTTCCACTGTGTTGTTGACTCTGGACCAGATTGACTGACCAGCGTTTTAGGAAGATTCTACGGCCTTACCTGTCATCTATTTCACATTGAGGATTAATAGAAAAAAAAAGGCTTCCTTTTCTACACAGATCATTCTAAGTCTATATACTGTATTAATACAGTACTGGTGTATCAGACATGGGGCTAAGACATCACTACAGGTACATTACAGACACAGCATGACCACCTTACCTGTTAGTAAATATAATAGGAACTTCATCAGGATATATGTATGTACAGGTAGAGTTGTGTTGACTGGCGATATCCCGGCAGAAGCTCGCTAGAGTTAATCCCCCGCACAGGAGGATCACCACTACAGATGGAACAAACTTGCAGATGTAGTACAGCACGACGTAACGAAAGATCTGCCCGAGGGTTCAGAATATCAGAGATGAACATTAATAAGACAATAGTATATTCCACATGCTAGTTATGGTACACAAATGAAATGAGATTTATTGAAACCCATGTACAGAAGACTTCTCCACTTGTATTAAACATCTCAAAAACAAAGTAATCTTTGCTTGTATGCATTGAATTAAAGTTAAACAAGGGACATACATAAACAACAACTCCTAATTCTTTGGCTGAATTTACAGTACAGTACAAGCCAATGACCACTCCCATATGAGTCCTTGTAGACAAACATCCCCGTCAACTCTGAGTCAAGTTTCAAGAAAGATCACTTATCCTTGCAAGAGTTACTGTATAAAACTACATGAAAGACCACTGAAACTAATACAAAAGATACAACATAGTACATCAATACATAATAACTGTAACATCTATAAAATATATATTAGGTACAATATGGCTGAAACATGATGTTCTTTTGTTTTTTATTACCTATACCTTTTGCTGCCTTAAACTATATATATACTATGGGAAGATTTATCAGTCTAGATCAACATATACTATGAATGAGTGTTAGTCTACAAGCAAAACACATATTCCTGAAGATAAAACAACTGTATAATAATCTATAAGTAATTCAAACTTCCCAACTTGGTATAATGGTAACACTCACTTGTTTATTTAATACCACTACGTTTTTTCCCGTGGCCTGGTTCATGACCGCGCGATTGGTCGGAGCCGCCACTAACGACACAGATACAATTGGGATTATTACACTCACTAGCCAGACAACATCCCCTGAAAGAGAGAATTGGTACTTGTGAAAACATAGTAAATTTTAGCGGAGCCTTAAAAAAAAATTAAATAAAAATAATCCTCATGTCTATTATAAACTAGGGTCAAAATCCAATATAAAGTTTGGTGCAAATTTCACAGCATAAAGCCTCTTCCATTTCTTTCCTCTCTCCTTCATCCTTATTTCCCATCTATTCCTATTCCTTCCTTCCACTCTCCACCTCTTCCTTGAACTCTATCTCCCTGTTCTGGTATCCATCTCTGGTGTGCCAAATACAGTACCAGGATGGCAGACAATTTCATGCTCAGCTTTTTAGAAATATAGAAGAATATGGCTGGAATATCAGTCAAATATTCAACAAGATTTTAACCCCTTGTGTAAGTGGCGTACTTGTAATAAAGAGGTTAAAATTGCACAAACTATTTAATTGACAGAACTTATTTACCTTTAGCCTGAGTGACTGTGTTAAGTGTTTACTTATCTATAGATTGCTTATTATATGACTTACCTGAGGATAACAACGGAGGCAGAGCAGCAGTAGCGGCCAACAGCTGGAGGAAGGTGAGGGAGAGACAGCAACATGCCCAGAACTGTAGGCAACTCATCATCTGCTGCATGTAGTGACGAGACTAGGGAAAAAAAATGCATTCAATCAATCAAGAACATTATAATTTGTCTTTTTAAATGTTATCAACTTTTTTCTCTCTCTCACAAGGATCAAACACTCGTATATAGATTCTCCTTTCATTTGAGCTGTCATTTAATCATTGTCAGTGAGGTAAGAGATGTTTTCTATTAAGGTCTTCCCCTTTTACATTAAGGTTACAATTATTTATCTGACTTAAACCTGATAAAAAAATAAAGGTGGATAATAAATTATAGTCACCTTCTAGTTCATGTTATAGAATCTTTCCCTAATTCATATAATATTTTTGGTGTAATCCATGTAAATATCTTCCTTCCTTTACCTCCATTATGAGATGAACGAGAGAGACTCTGTCGTCACGATGGAAGGCTAATGAACAGGGCAACAAGTTGAGGGATCGAGCAACTTCTGAAGGGGCCGGACCCTTAGAAGAGGGAGGCCGGATGAACACTGCTTCCCTCATACACACTTGTGGGTAGAGCGGATCCACGGACAGACTGTTGAAGGCAAGTGAGAGGTGAGGGATGACATCTAACCCTTACCATAAAGAGAATTACAAAGTATTCTATATATTTACACCAACACCACACAAATCTCTAACATGTACTGTGCATTTATCTTCTATGTACAGTACTATACTCCCTAAGAAGTATAGTACAGTACACTCATGATCCTTTAAGATACCTATTCATTATCATCCTTACAACAGTTTCACAAAGACAGAGAGTCAAAGCACCATACCTAGCATCAGCCTGCATAAACAGCTTCATGTTATCTGCGTTGGCCGAGGACCCCATCACCATAGTAACCTCCGTGTACTCCTGCATGATGGTGAGCATGGCACACGTCGCTGGTGGGGTACAGTCGGTGAAGAGGGACACCAGCAACGGAACATTGTCTACGTTTTCAAGATGGGGTTTGATGTTCTCGATGCCTTTTGGGAGTCGCGCCTGTGTAAGAAAAATAATGGTAAGATACTTTTCCAGCCAAGTGAAGTCGTTAACGTGACTGTTTTTGGTTTATATACGTAAGAATAAGAGTAATTATTGAGATTATTTGCAAGATTACTTTTTACACCATCAAGAAAGACTACTGTTCACACTCTCACCCGATTAGACATATCAAAGTTAAACGAGGCGGAGTGTTCGGTGCTATCGGTCCCTCTAGAGGTGGAGCGCGACCCGGACTGGCCGGACATATGCGACTGCTGATCACTCGTGGGGTCACCCTGGTCGCATGTGTTCTCCTCCTCCGCCAGCATCATACACTCCTCGCTCGTCCCTCCAGGGCAGTTATAACCAAACCCTGTAAGTCTGTGTAAATAACATACTGGTTAAAGCTTCAAGTATCTTAACACTCCTCATGGCATTGATACAAAGGAGACAGATGAATGTAACAACGTCTGGATTATATCAGAAGAAAATACGCAATTTTTAACACAGTTTACCTGAACGTATCTACAATATATCAAAACATAATTACCTGTGAATAATTATAGAGAAAAAATAGATGACATTAAATAAAAAGATACCACTGTATTTAGTTATAATGGTGACAGTTCTGACCACCACCTACATTACCACCATCCACAGTTCTCACCTCTGGTCGTCCTCATCCTCCAGGTATGAGGTATGCGACTGAGAGAATTCAGAACAGATGGACACCTCCTCCTCGAACTTCACCTGCGCGACCTCCAAGTTTATCGCCGACGGCGCCGAGTGACTGAGCGCCCGGGAAACCTCCAGGGAGCTTCTGTGATGGGTGTAAGCTTATGTTAAATCCTGCACCTCAATGAAGAAGCATTTAAAATAGATCATGAAAATTACTACAGTACTATATACTCAATCAAATATGTAACTTAGCACCTAAAGACAGCAATAGTAAGAAGTAATCTCAAATATTTTAACATACAAAGCCTGATCCATGGAGGGAAATAATACTGATAATATGATATGCAAAATGTATGCAGTGATGGATGATGTGGTCGCTCTATTGGATAAATTTACATAGTATGCCTCACACTTGGGGTTCCTTCTCCTGTTGTAAAATGCGATGCAATAGTAATTATTTCTCCCCCTGGCTTCTGCTCTTCCCAAAAAAATATTTCAAGACTAAGATAATATGACAAATTTGAGATTACTGTCAAACTATGGAAACAATTATAATTAAATTTATATTCAGTGCAAAATCAGCTTAATTCAATACAAAATTAACTGAAAATTGGATATACCAGAGCGCTGGATTCATGATGCAATTCTACGAAGGTACAAAACCTCCTTGGTCAAATACCAAGGATTTTAATTAATCTCTCATTAACTTGGAATAAAATCACTCACAAATAACTTACATAACTGGTAATGCTATTATCCTACTTATTGATATTTGCCATTACTCTCAATTTCCTGAATATGAAGTGACGAAAAAAAATAAAGTCCACGAACCACAAAATTCAGACTGGTGAACCCGAACCAGTAGACACTAATGCATTATTCTGTCCATAAATGTTTGGGATTCACCAGTCTGAATCTCAGGGGTTCGTGGAGCAGGGACGACAGGACTCTTGTTCATGACTGTACAATAAGCATTAGCAACATATATCTGAACAACTCCCAACAGCAACAGGTGATAATAATGTGGTTGTTGAGACATAACTTAAATAATTCTACCCTTATGGAATATTACTGGTGTTAAATTACTTACTACTGTATTTACCAAAAATTGAAGTACAAGAAACACAAAATGAGAATATGGAAGTGGAAAATAATGAAGAGCAAGGCGTGTATGACAACAAGCCCATATCTGAAGCAGTGACTGAGGTAAACCCACTAGTGTCTGTATGAGTATAGGTAGATAACACATTGTAGCAGCAGTTCCATAATATAATTACTATACAGTACTAGCACCTGTGGCTTTATTATTAACAATATTAATTATGACAGAAGACACTCAGCTGTTCCCTTGCTAACTTTAAGTATTTCATTGTACAGATATATACAGTCCAGTAAATAAGCATCCTATATCACTGTCTGAACGTCTTGAGAACTCTACTGCACAAGTCCTGCCATTATATATATATTTTAACTATATTTTATATGTGGGAATGGAGTCAGGATGATAAGCACAGAAAAACAAGTGAAGGTGACCCATGGGGGGAAATGGAGTCAGGATGATTACAACCTATACTGAGCTATGTTCTATCTCATAAACTCCAACAAAAAAAAAAATCCAATAATGTTACAAAAATGCTGTAATTTTCAGCAGTGTCTTTTATTAAAATTATTAAACAAAAAGTTAGTTTTGTCACTCAAAGCAAACTTCAAAAACATCATCAGCAAAAGCAAGAAAGAAAATTGGCTTCAAAATACCAAACATGCACAAAAGACAGCTGACCGAGGCTCTACAACAGCGACATCATTTAGAAAAAAAGATTAATAGAGTCCAGCCCATCAACACATAGAAGGGCTGATGTAGAGTGCTTAGTCACAGTGCTTTAAAAAACAGTATCTGGGGAGTGGAGTAAAAAGAAGAATATAATGAGTTTCCAGAACTTCTTCCCTATACCTGTCGAAGCACTGTGAATTAAACTAACCTAAACCCTTCCCTACGGGGACGCCACATTTAATAGTATTCTGACACCGGGTGGCTTAATTCAGCTCAGAGGCGACCCCGTACATAAGGGGTTAAAGAAGAGAGCTGGTAAAATTTCATATAATGACCTATTCCATAGTTAGATTTCCAAAATAACATGATAGTTTGACAGTTTGAGCCAGAGAAGACCCAAACTACCATCATGTTATTGTGGAAACCTAAAATACTGTAAACATCATTGATTAAAAAAACAAACAATGCCCCCCAACAGTTAGCTATGGAATACTGCATGCTATTCGGCTATCATTTATGTGCAGCAGCAGCAATCGTCCCTCGCTCATTCAAACAGACAAAAAAGAAGACGTGAGAGTTAAAAGTTACCTCAGCGTGTGTACATACGGAGAAGGGTAGAAGGGAAGCATGAAAAGATAAGACGAGAATGAAGTAAAGGAACAACACTGTGGACAAAGATTAAGAAATGAGGACTAAGCAACCGTGGAAGATCTTGTGTAATGACGACATAACACATCATCTGTTGGTTGTTGCAGCGATCACGGGGGGTGAGAGAAGAAGGCCACGTCCGAACCTCAGAACTGAACCCGTAAACACTGCCCAGACACATTTAAACACAGGATCCTGACTCCTCTGACACCACATGATATCCTAACCCATTTTGTAAGTAAAGAAAATTATTCATAACTAATATAAATACTTTATCATAATGTTTAAGAAAATTCAGGATTAATTAATAAAAAATATGGCATTATTATCTCAAGTTTGAAGGTTTGGTAATGAATTCAAACCTGACCCCCAGAAAAAGGGAAAAGGGGCCGAGTTATTAATCCCCCCATGGCAGAGCGTTCACTGGGGCCAATTAACCCACTACCTCTTGCTCTGACTAAACGTACAGTAGCTAAAACAACGATCTGTGCTCCGAAATTTTACGTGTGACTATTGACAGCCCTCATATACCAAAATTTATCGTCCGTGGTCTCATATTGTTTCCCACAAAGTATGCACAGGTGGTTGTTTTAGCTACTGTACATTCCTAAATAAACTAGTCCTTTTCTTCCATACAGCCATAAATACACTAATAATACTGTAATATACTTCACTTATGTTTGTATATTAAATAACTTTGACAAATATGCATAAAATATGAAGAAATGCCAAGAGAGATATATGACAATAGTTTTAAGTCAGAGTAAGATAACATAGAGAAATAATCTGTATACATATTTAAAACACAACATCAACAGTGACACAATTTATTTAATAGACTGTATGGGAGAGTACAGTCCATTATATCGAGGTTTGTTATATGTAAAAACCTCCATATAACAGACTGTATAGGAGAGTCCAGTCCATTATATCGAGGTTCATTACGTAAAACCTGTCAAAATTGATGTCCTTTAAATGGAGGTTTTAACGTACATCAGGAAATAATCACAAGTAACAATATAAAAATAACTTCACGTAATAATAAAAACTAAAAACCTAAAACTTATATGTAGGAACAGGTGAGATATAAGAATGATGAACCAAGATTACCTTTTACTGTTAACTGATCAATTTGAATAACTATTTTATTAATGATCTCATCCCAAGATTCTCAAAAATTAATACTTATTTTTTTTTCCTTTCTCCTCTCCTTAGGCACAATGGGAAGTAAATAATATCTATGTAGCTTAAAATAAAAGTGTAATTATAATAGAATTTAGGAAGTCATTACTCAGGTGGGGATGACGTGAAGCCATTTTGATGTATTCCCAGGTGTCCAGTTGAGGGAAAAGAAATGTACTCCCATCCCTGAACCCTGAGATTCATGAACCCGTGAACCCGAGACATGAGAGTGTTGGTTCCACAGATGACGCACTGTGTGATGTCTCGGATTCACGGGTTCATGTAGTCTCGGGATTCATGGATGAGAGAGATGACCGACAGGATTTTTTTTGGGTGGGTGTACAAACCTTTGAGAATCTGGGATTTGAAAGATATAGTAGTTTTTCTCTTAAGATATTTCCAAAGGCAAGTTAAACTGGTATGATAATATAATTTATATCTTTAAGCAGACTTCTACTACATCTTTCTGCTGAGTCTACATGCAATGGGATCCTAGATTTCAGGAATTACTAGAAAGCTAAGAACAGGTGTAAAAATGGTCAAATGTACAGTACTGTATAAGGTGTGTCTCCTGGTGTACTGTAGTAGCCACGTACCTTAAACCCAGCCCCTTTCTTCGCTGACTCTTACTACGTTGGAACCCCTTAAAGGAGGAGCTAGAGGCATCGAGAAACATGTGCAAGGCAGTAAGAACAATTACACAAACAAAATATTATTGTAACAGTCATAATGCTAGAGAAAGAGAGAGAGAGGGGGAGGAGAAGGGAGGCTGATGATAATATACAGAACCAAGTGACTTGGGACTAAAGAATGATCCCTTAGATGCACTGTCTACAAAAAGTTAATAAATGATAAATATTTATAAAAAATAATAATAGAAGGTTTTCAGTATCAAAAGCTAAATACACAATGCCATTCAAAATTCAAATAAACTATGAATTAGTCTACCTAATACTTGAATAAAAAGTTGTGTAACATGACATCTCAACTTGCCAGCAATCCTTATGATTATTAGAAAATTTAATACCATAGAAAAGCTCTGACATACTGAAAAGGACAATATATACAGCCTGTGTTAATGTTAATAATTAATTGCCTTAAAAACAGAGGAGCATCAACATTAATGAGGCAAGAGTTACCTCAAGCAATTATCTGTTTAATTAATAAAGATGATTTAGTTCACTGCAGTCTAAAGTAACCATGCATGATAAAGAGATCCAAACTACAACGAGTCCAGATGATTAACTCTGTCCCCTTCCACCCACGTGTGTCTCTGGGATCATCCACTCGTTACCAGAGTTTAAACCGGCAGTCATAAGCCAAGCCCTCCATAATAATATAACAAGATGCAATAATAGGTGGGAAAAAAATATGATGATGATATCTCTCTCTTCACTATCCTACTAATGGTGACACAGTCCTAGGAGTAACTTGACAAACTCAGACATATAACTGAATGAGAGACACTTCTTAGGTACAGTACTTCCAAAATTCTCATGCTGGTAAGAAAAAATTAGTACTACATTTTGAATTATCGCTCTGTTTCTCTCTCTATATATATATACATGCTCCTTCATCATATAATTTGCAAGACATGGAAAAGATAGAACTGAGCTTGTAAAATCCCCACTGAAGGCTGGGGAGGGAGAGAAATGTGTCCTTCAAGTGAGCTGCCAGTGCCTACTTGTCCTGTACTGAACCAAACTCCCAAAGTGTGCACAAAAAATCAGAGACAATGTCATCTCTCACCAACCTGTTTTAACTTGTATTGGAGTGAATTAAAATATGATTATCCTCACCATCTTACCTACCAAAATACAGACATTTGAGTAATATATAACATCATTATCACTGAAAAACTTGGCAACAGAAAATAATCTTTTACTGTACAGATAGGAGGAGGCCCAAACAACTGGTGGAAATATTTATCATGAGACATTTATGGAGGACGTAACAAGTTCTCAGCTTCCTCAACATCACAAGAAGGGATTATATATGGTGCTGAAAAGATCTATTCTAAAATTAAGCTTTAAATGGTGTGTTATGTGTTACCCTAACTATATACACTCACGGCAAAAAGTTTCATTAAGGAGGTGTCTGATGAATTTCATAATGGACACTGTGACTCCTGTTGTCTCGAGAAGGTTGTCAAACTCATTCATCTCGTCTACCAAAAATAATAAAGATACTTTTTGAAGCGGGTGTACATAAGTGACGTCTTACTTTTAGAGAACTGGAACAACATATCTTTCTTCCTGTTCCTCTTTGAATCTCTCACACCTAAATGATCAGATATAACATTTTTATCATGGTTTTAGAAATTGGAATTAAATCCCAAATTACCTAAAGCAGTTCTCAAAAATTATTCTATCTGTTTGACCTCTGTATAACTCAGCCTACATTGAAAACTTGACCTCGATCAAATTATTGCACCCAATTTAAGAAGCCGCCTGCAAGCATCTTTACTCCACTATGAACTTCCTCATCAGTATCTTTCAAATCACATCTGCAACTCATCATATACCACATTCATTCCTTCCTTGTCTTAGTCCATAGTAGTATACCTTAGGGACTTGCTATCACAGTGCCAACCATAGGAGGGATACCCAAAGATAAATTCTAAAAGATAATCTTCAAATTGTATGGTATAATGACTCATCAGGGTAACTCCTTCAAGCACAATTTTCTTGTCTGTTGAACTATTATAATATTTAAGTCTTCCTGAGAGTAAATAAATACCAGTAAACAAAAACTATACCACAGACAGTTTACAGTATTAGATAAAGACTAACTCCCTAAACTAGTTGCTGAAAATCTCATATGTGGTAAAATATTATAGATATATTCACTTTCTCATGATACTTTGGCATGAAGCTTGAAAAAAAAAATGGATAACTAACATACGAGATAATTTCAGACTTTCCTTGTACTTGGAGGTAATTATAAATTGAAGTTATAAAATAAGAGTTAGTCATATTTACTTTAGTCTATCACCAACAGAGATTAGTCAACTCAGATGCCTTGGTCTATCACTTCAACAAGACCCTCAGTCACCTCACATGATACAGTTAGTAAAGTTCCTCTCATCTGTTGCTATGGGTTATATTATTATTAATTATAGTGTAGAGCTACGGTACTTATTTTAATGCTGTTCTATAATTTGTCAATATATTATGTCGTCTCTTTTTCCAGTACAATGAGCCTTCCATATGACGGACTTCTCTCTCCATATGATCCGTGAGAAGGGGGTTTTCACATCTAAAGGGACCTCGATATAACGGACTTTCAATCTCCAAATAGTCCGTTAAATAGAATTTTCGCTGTACCGTCTATTACCACTCAAGACCCGTGGCTTAGTGGTCATGATACTCGTAAATTGGCAGCCCTCGGGTTGATCCTCAAGCAGGGTGGAACTCTGGGCAAGGTTCTTTATACTATTTGCTTCTGTTTCTGTAGTCGTCATAGTGTACCTGGATGTTAACTGAACGGTGAGTCTCAGGGTAACGTTTGGCCAGTGTGGTTGTCAAGTTGTCTGGTTTTCTTGGGCTACTTCATGACTCGACTCTGGGTCGTACACCTCACTATCCCAGGGCGTCGTTGTTGTGACGGCCGTAGCTTTTCTTCCTGACACAAATTCCCATCAGCGTGGCCTTCAGGCAACCATTATAACTAAAACTGGATGAAGAAATACTAAATACCATAACAAGGACTAGAAGAACATGCTGAGTACCATACCATACAGTGCTCAAGTACATACATCACTTGTAGACATGCAGACAGTCTTACTGATCCAATAAGTAATAGATTTCTGTGCAATTAATGCCTCCAGTTCCCTTTATCTCACTACTGTATTACTCTGGTGATCCACTCCACAATAACCGAGCCATCACAACACATGCGGTCACAGACACCTTGGTACCACCTGTCTGTATTTTTTAACTAAACTCTGTGTGCGGGCAACAGTTCTGTATTTTTGATTAACTGGGTTTTTTCCTCACTATCTGACTTATGTAGATATTATATTTATGTTGCTGTTAAATCTCTGGACTTCATATAGAGACAAGAAGCAATGACGGGAATATATTCACTGCAGTAAGCCATTTTATAAGTGAGAAAAAAATCTAGAATCCTTGGTGACTACATGGATGGTTGACAGAGGCATAACTTTTCATTGCATGGTCAGTACATAGTACATTGTTTTGATACTTGTGGTACTTCTGTTCCCACACGAGTCAGTTAATAATGATGCAGTAAATGAAGTAAATGAACTTCATCCCTAAACATAATTTGATCTGGGGGATTTCTTGTGTTAATGGCTTGATTGTCTCATATCCACACGTTGAATATTAGTACTTGATTGCAACCTAAAGTACCACCAGTAACTTCCACCTCAGCTGGTGTGTCTATAATCCAAAATTAGTCTTCCTTCTTCATTCCCATCTCACTGGTGTAAGTAATGACACCAGTAAAGTAAATCCTATAAATTATTTACACTGGCATTATTCCCTTCACAATATGCCGACCAAAAACCTCTCCTTATTTCTCATTGCTTCATAATTGTCCTGTAAATGTAAATCAAACCAAATAATATGCAAACTGGACAAGTATACCCAGCCAGACAACTAACTAGTAAATTAATTGTAAACTTGACAATGAACCCAAAATGAGGTTGGATCTACGGTATACCATTATGATAAACACTGAGGACAAAGACAGATGTTTACTCTATGATAAACACTGAGGACAAAGACAGATGTTTACTCTATGATAAACACTGAGGACAAAGACAGATGTTTACTCTATGATAACACTGAGGACAAAGACAGATGTTTACTCTATGATAAAACTGAGGACAAAGACAGGTGTTTACTCTATGATAACACTGAGGACAAAGGCAGATGTTTACTCAAAGACAGATGTTTACTCTATGATAACACTGAGGACAAAGACAGATGTTTACTCTATGATAACTGTGTTTACTCTATGATAACACTGAGGACAAAGGCAGATGTTTACTCTATGATAACACTGAGGACAAAGACAGATGTTTACTCTATGATAACACTGAGGACAAGGACAGATGTTTACTCTATGATAACACTGAGGACAAGGACAGATGTTTACTCTTGTCTTGGTCTCCTTATCCCTAATCAAGACTACCACTGGTCCCAACACCACCTACTGCTCACTATGTACCTATAAAGAAGAGGATGGTTCACTCACTCCGAAAACTATCTTTACTGAGGTGTCCGATGGATTACAAAATGAACACCGCGATTCCTGTTGTCTCGGTAGGGTTGTCAAAATCCTTCGTCCGTTGTGTCATACTGTCTAACACAAAGTCGTAAAGATAGTTTCCTGGAGTGAGTGTACGTGTACCACGGTGTACCCGATCAATAGAAGCCTGTAGCTGACCATAATTTGCAGTGAGTTTTATTCACCTGGTGAAGTCATTATATATCAGATTATCACTACATAGGACACTGGGTCATAAATAATAAAGAATGTAGTTCTTGTATGAGTAATAGGAACTCTTTTCTACTTGAATCTTAAATTTTACATATAAAAATCATATTGTATAACAGTTTAAATAGAGAAAGTAATATATTTGCAAGTTAAACTATGATGATCTGTAATTGTTGTAAGTCTCAAAGGTTACTAGGCTTTAATTCTCAAGAGTATAAAATATGTTCCTCAATTTGTAGCTTACCGGAATCGAGTCTTGGAAAGGTCAGGGCTGGTGACGTCCTCGGTGGATTGTCTGTACAGTGTCAGGCCGGACGTCTTGACGGAAGCCGCTTGTCCTGTGCGACTTGAATTTCCACTTTCTGTCCTATATACGTTTACACAACCTTTAGCTGTCAGCGTCACAACACAAAATACATGTAATTCGTACTTAAAAATTTCACAAACACACTACTATACACTCCACCTTCAGCAAGAATGAAAGTGCACAACATTCCATACAGACGAGGGGCAAGGGGACAGACCATTAATAGGTATACAGGGGCCCTATTGCCTTTTACAGTGAGAAATACTACTTACTTCTTTGGAGTCTATGAATGGTTTTGACTCAAATTAAATGTAAACTAATTACCCTATTGTCAGCATAATAATGTGGCTGTACCCATCTGGGGAATCTTGGCGGCCCTAGAGAAATCAAACAAAGAAAATCACTAACAAAAAGCTTTCCTCTTTCTGAAGTAATGTGAGCATAAGACTCCAAAGAAGAAATTTTCTCGTCCAAGTTGCATCATTTTATTTTGTAACTGTGAAATGGGTAATGGGGGTGGTAGACCTTAGATCAATGGGGAATTCTCATCTTTGATAGCATTGAATATCTATTGCTCTTTGTATAATGGGGAATGGACAAGACAATGAAGATGTGGAGTGATGGGGAAGCTGCAGGCCACTCTGACTGGGGTGCCCCTTAGAAGGTAACTCTCTGAAGATGTGAGATATGGCAAGCAAAAAGATAAAGATACACAAAGTCAAAAATATATTAAAGAACACAGTATAAGATAAAATATAATGCATAGGTTAACAAACTAGGGAATGTTTACGTCACTGATACGAAGGTAAACGTCAGTATAACGATTCCACTGATAGTGTTGGGGATATCACCAAGAACATTCCATTGAGAGATGGTGTTAATACTGTACAGTACACACAGTCCATTGATAGTATTAAGAATGTGATCAACCCCTTCACTACGGGGAGGCCACTTTTGATGTCTTACTTAACCAACACCGGGCGATTTTATACCACCTCAAGAGGCGGCCACGTACACAAGGGGTTAAAGACGATATCAATCAATCAATCAATCACGTCGATGTGCCGTAATCAAGTCTCGGACACACGGTAGCATAAATATACAGCAAAAACAGCACACCCTGGCCAACTCACCTGGTCCGATCTGACAAGAGAGATATGTGACAATTCCAGCCACTCTCTAAACCCATCTTTTCTGAAAACACTCGCGACCGCAGCTCGTTCTCTTTGCTGAAGTGGACGAACCGAATGCACGAAGCGTCTAGTTGCTCAATCATTTGTACCTGAAGCAATGAAGCAGAGACTAATCACTCGGGCTTATTCTCATTGACAAAAGAGTTAAAATGAATGGTACCCTATAAGGACGATGGGATGACAATGCCTCGAAGATGACGGTCTAATTACTTAAGCACGGTAATTTATCCTTTTCAAGACTACTGTACGATTTTAAACCATTGAGGATGATAGTTTAATACTGTACAGTAGCTAAAACAACCACCTGTGCATACTTTGTGGGAAACAATATGAGACCATGGACGATAAATTTTGGTATATGAGGGCTGTCAATAGTCACACGTAAAATCTTGGAGCATATCAACCCCCACCTGCACAGATACCGGTAGTTGTTTTAGCTACTGTACATCATCCTTAACGGGCTAAATCAAAAATATAAGCAATCAAATAAAGAATGATGATTAAATGCTCAAAGTAAGATCCTTCTCCTCTTCAATCAGTCAACAAAAGGTACAAAGATATACTCCCTGTGTCTTCCAATCAAAATATATATTTTTTTAATCAAGAATCAATGGAAATAAAAATTCTACCCTCCTCCCCAAAGAAGTGACCCCACACAGGCAGACAAAAGTGACTCACCATATCGGTCTTGGCTTGATATTGCATCGTCACCATACCTATGAAGATTTGTTTACACTGCATTCTGAAGGCATCGTCAATATCGTCAATCTCCTCATATTCTGTGTGTTCCTCATCACCAAAAAGTGCCTCTGGAAAAAAAAGAAAGACAGTATTGCTCACATCCCTAACCCATGAATGACTCTGACTCCTGGACTCAAGCAGCTTAAACTAGGGACTGTCATGATAAATATATACACCAATTATAAGCATTATAGCTCTTTCTGTTTCTAGGTTAAGGTATGAACATAAGTACAGTCGTTAAACTCAAATGTACCCCGGACTAACACTCTGAGGTTTATGGGAAACTTGAGACATAGAAATTATTATTAGGACATTCATTTAGTATACACATGTCAGAGATACAACTTAATACCTTGTTTGTCTCCCTACATAACCTCTCCTACATCGTCTCCCTACATAACCTCTCCTACATCGTCTCCCTACATAACCTCTCCTACAGCGTCTCCCTACATATCCTCTCCTACACCCCACAAAGACATTATCTGATAAAGAAGACTCGCCAGACTAAAATTAACAAACCTGTGCTGATGTGTGGTGTAGGCGTCCGGGCTGCGTTGTAGAGATGCGTCGGGTCAATAGGAAGCTCCATGTAGATATTGGTTAAGTTCTCTCTGACAACACAAGAGGTGGGACGGTAGGAGAACGCGGTGCAGTAGGCAGAGAGACTCGTTCGGTGGTAGAAATCCAATATTTTCTTTCTGGAACAAGTAATTTAAATAAAGGGGGCTCTTAGTGTGTGTGTGTGAGTGCCATTATCACGTGGTTGGCAGAGTGCGCTCCCTATCACCCTCACCATAAGGAGTTCAAACACCTATTGATTAAGAATCATACATAGGCCTAGAATTATACATATAATCCTTTAAATATTGTTTTACTGTATGACAAAAATCCTGCTTCTTACCTGTCCTTCTCCGTCAATGGACAGATGTCGTAGCCGTCCCAGTAGTCAGTGCAAGAATCTAACACAATATCTGCTGTACCCTGAGGAGATAAAACAAAGGTCAAACTTGATAACTTTACTGTTTTACGATATGTAGAAAAGCATGAACCCTTAATTAGAGGTTCTGATGTTTTGACAGAGACAGAATATTGTACTTTTGGCTGCAGCATATTGTCTCCACCTTCTCAGATATATACAATAAGTGTGAATAACAGAGGTATCTTATCTATGATCCTGCACACATCTAGATACTTAGGTTTTATTAATAAGAAAATCCCTTCAATTGTGTCACTAGTCATACAAATAATAACGTAGTAATACTCAATTCACAAGTCCTACTCCCGAAGACTATTAACACCATAAAGAATAAAACTAACACAGGAAAGACTGAAACTATAAGGAAAAGAAAGATTCTAATCCTTAACATCATATTCAAGAGGTTTTAGTTTATTGGCAACATCTCACAACATAAACCTGAGAGAACTATTATATTCACCTGTGACATTAACTCCAGTTTACGTGAGCCGCGGTCCCTCACCAGCACCGAGACCATGTGTGGGAAGGGGAACTTGAGTTTGGTGATCATTAACGACTTGGCCAGACGATCTTTGCACGCCATATCTGGAGGCTGAACACACGACCTTATTACAACATGAATGAAAAAATATATAGTATGGATCAAAGGAATTCAATTTTCCTGGCTATAATATCTTTTTTAAATATTTCATCAAAACTGAACACAATCAAAGTGACACACAAACACACAGTAAAAATATGCCACCTTACCACATGTCTAAATGTCGACAGCTGATGCTCCAACTCAAAAGGTTCTTGAGCTTGTTCACTGAAACCTATTTGTTTGGCCAGCTCACACAAGCACCTGAGTGGAAGATAAGGATAGTTTTACACACAGTTCATAGATTGAAGAATTAACATGGAACCAAACCAAATAGAACAAAGAACTTACAGACAATACTAACTACATCACTATCAGGCATTATCCAGCCCCTACCAAACAAGGATATCTCAAGACTGATCACAATCTAAGAGGTTGTGTGTGGAGCCTCTAGTCACGTTATCATGAGATCAAATAACAGAGAAGACTTATATGTACTGTACACATCTTCCTGTACTGTACCATCTAAGTTGACAATGTACTTAAGATTCAGAGAGGACTTACATGTACAGTCACCTGCACTTTATACCTGGTACATTGGCTGGTGTGTTTTGTAAGATGTGCGCGGCAACTCTGTGTTTGTTTACATTGTGTTAAAAGTCCCAGAATGGCCCCTAAGGAGCCTCGCCATAGTAGCCAGACTAAGGAATTGCCACATCTCACAAAACGCCTCAGTCACTGTCCCTATTTTCCTCTTACATTACACCCAACCTCACATTATAACTGAGTTTAATTCTTTTAGTTAATTATTGTGTTCCTTGATTTATCACCCAAACTAGGAGACAGAATATCTTACATCACCTCACTAAGCTGCCTCTACTGTGTCACTGAAAACTCATGTCTCATTAGTTTCTACAAAAAAAATAGTAATAATAAAAATTCCTGCAATCCTTCTCACAGGGATTCAGGACATAAGATTGACCATACAAAATAACATAAACCATAAAAGAAAATCTAAAAGTCAAGCATTTATTACACATTTAGTTATTATATATATTGTTGGGAAAGTTGTGAGACACACAGACAAGTAAGCAGGGGAGTGAAAAAAATATACTGTGAAAGATTAACAAAATCCTGAGAGGCCATTATCACCCTACCTGGGAAGTATGCCATCATGGACACCCTACTGAGACAACAGCATCATGACTCCAAGAAGGTCCTCCTTCCTTGTGGTGATGATTGTAAGCTTCTGTCATCATCCACACACATACACAATTGATGATTGATACTATGGGGCCAAATAACTTTGACTTTCTACCCAATTCCTCAACCACATCTCGACAACACGGTGAAACCTCCATTTAACTGGACTTCTCTGGCCACACAATCCGTTAGGTGGGGGTTTCACATCTAATGGACCCTTAATATAATGGACCTTTCGTCTCTGTATACTAGTTCGTTGTATTGGGGGTTTCAAATCTAATGGACCCTCAATATAATGGACTTTCCACTCTCCACATAATATATTAAATAGAGGTTTTACCGTGGCCAAAAACAATCTGTAAATATTTTGACCTCTTTTGTCTATTCCTCCTATAGTGTTGTGAGGATAAGACCTTAAAGACATAGGGATAATGGAGGAGGATTTTAACATGTGGCTTATACAGGATCATTATTTTATTCCAGAACCCTATAGTATAGTTAATACTGTATAATTTATGATGTGCAATAAACAAGTACCTCAAAAGTCACTAGGGTTAAAGTCTCATCATATCATGGACAGGAAATAAATGTTCCTCACAATGATCACACTACGATGTTCCTGTTTATTGCAAGTCCTAAAATTTAGTAATTATTTAGGGTACTCGAGTAAAATTATGACCCTGTACCTGCAACAGAGAGCTGCCTTCCCTGGTACACATGACTAATAAAGCATTTATGACTACAACTTAATAAAAAGAGAATAGATCTTTCGAAACTAGAAGGTATGTAGAAAATATAAAGCAACAAATACAGTATGTCTAAACTAAACAGTATTTAGACAAAGGAAATAATTTGTCTAATCTACACAGTACAGTATATTTAGACAGTAAGCAAGAAATATGCCTAAGCTACACAGGATTTAGACATTAAGCAAGAAATATGCCTAAGCTACACAGGATTTAGACATTAAGCAAGAAATATGCCTAAGCTACACAGGATTTAGACATTAAGTAAGAAATATGTCTAAGCTACACAGGATTTAGACATTAAGTAAGAAATATGCCTAAGCTACACAGGATTTAGACATTAAGTAAGAAATATGCCTAAGCTACACAGGATTTAGACATTAAGCAAGAAATATGCCTAAGCTACACAGGATTTAGACATTAAGCAAGAAATATGCCTAAGCTACACAGGATTTAGACATTAAGCAAGAAATATGCCTAAGCTACACAGGATTTAGACATTAAGCAAAAAATAAATCTGCACAGTATTTAGAAAAACCTTACAAAACGAATCTTTCTAAACTACACAATACTACATAAAGATAAACAATATTTAACGGACATTGATTAATTAATCCACCAAGAAGAGAGACTACAAGGCAAGAGATCGGGTACTGTAGTCAGGAGAGCTCTGCCATCAAGTAATCCCAGCTAACCCGTTCAAGTGTGGAGAATGAACCCAATATCGGTGGAGGCTTTCCCTCGAGATATGGGATTTTGAGTCATGAGATTTTGAGATATGGGATTTTGAGTCATGAGATTTTGAGATATGGGATTTTGAGTTATGGGATTTTGAGTTCTGGGATCTTGAGTTACAGGATGGCAGGTTAAGGACAACTTTTCAGGAACGCAACACTTCCATAACTCGGGGAATGCCTGTATACAGTATTTAGAGAAGATCGAGGAACTAACGAATTTATTTAAACTTCAAAAGTAAAGAATATACAGGAAATAAACAACGTAAACTATAACAGTTTACTGAATACAAAATACTTAGGAAATACAGTGTAAATGACAGTATAAACAGATGATGACAGGCCAATAAATGAGAACACTGTCAACTTGATATTTCCATTACACTGCCTGATACCTATACAACATCCACATGTGATCAATTTACATTTACAATATCGAGATGAAAATGATATTATGTACAGGTATCCAGTGAGTTACATAACTCCGAGTTACTGTATTTCGAGTTAAGGACAACATTTCAGGAACGTAACCCTTCTGTAACTCGAGGGATGCCGGTACCTACATATAAATATCGAGAAAAATCAATTTATCACTTTAGAAAAAAAACTGCATTACTCTTATCAACAAATGTTTCATCCAAGAGAAGAAAGAACTGAGGTGTATAACATAACACAGTGGCTTACCTTACATGCTTTTAAGTGACACTCACGAGGATGACACAGCCCTTTCAGTGAAACAGAATGGACTGACCGATCACGAGGCAAATATAACATAGAACTGCCTGAATATTGACTGATAACTTATCTATCGGGGCAAATCAATTATGTTTGTCTATGTAGCTAAGTGTAGGCTGTTCCTTGACACAGTATAGAGCTTCTACTAACTACCATAATTATGTTATTTCACATATAACAGATAGACAAAAGACACCAATACAGGGTACATTGACAAGGACATTGAATCGTGGGGGAAATTTTAACTTACTTTATTGCAAGGAATATAGATGGAGTTTAACAGCTAGAATTCAGTGGAATGGAGCAAAGCAAACATCTAATGCAACAAGTATTAACTGCACTATGCAACAGATACAAATATATGTTGCATTCCACACATAAATGCTGGATTCTTGTAATCTTTCTATCAGACTATATTCTATGGTACTATGATCGTTTGTGATCTGATGACAGAAGCTCAGCACAACTTATACCAAGAATTTATCAGGATAAAGAAACCCCTTAGATGAACAGAATTACATTGAGTACAAAACTATACCGTACTATCACGGGATGCAGAAAACCCACCGAAGAACACAATCACACAGAGTACAAAAATATACATTGGGAAGTACTGGTGTATGGCTCTAGCTGAGAGAGTGGAGGAGATGAATCACTGGAGGCTGTTCTTTCCGACGTACCATGCATGAGGCGACAGATAAAAAGTTTTGGCAGTGAGGAAACAAAAACTTGAATAACGAGACATCAAAAGAAAGATTCAAACACCGACAGAAGGAAAGAAAGTACAAGTGATACAGAATGTTGGAATTAACGTAGATAATAAAGACAATACAGTAACTCAGATACAGTGATACAGTGTGAGTCCCGCCAGAGCAATACACTTTACCCCTTACATAAAACAAGTGACATGTACTGTAGAAAACACACAAAAACAACCAATAAAGTGTCTTCCTCCACTAAGGGATCCTCATTAAGTACGCAAAATGTAGCGGTAATCTTCACATCCGGGTAATATTTTATCTTTAATTATCTTCCTTAATTACAAACATTGGCCATGAAGAGGAGTCAATGGGTCATAGTATTACAAGATAAACTCTGCTGTAACGAGTCTTTTCTTTTATCAATCATGTGACTCGGGTGTGATCATAGGAACAACAGGTTAAAGGTAGGAGCTAACATTATCCATAAGACCAGTTCCTTAACCTTTACCCTCTATTATGACCCAGTGACTCAGAGTGGCCTGTTACTGTTTTGGGAGATATTATCAGTACTGTACAGAGGGAGTGAAGATGGAAAGCCACAGTATTAAAGGAGAAGTGAAGATGAAAACCCTAACCTTTAGTGCTACATTGGTACACAGCGCACAGGACTACGATGGAGGACAGTACCCAACACAAACTACTAAAAAACATTGATAGCCTACCCACGACTGCACACAGGAATGTCCATATGTACTACGTGCCGATGTTCACACCCATGTTCTACATAGCTGCTCAGAAATAAGAAATAGGGGCTTAGTATTGGTACTTATCTATAAAAAAAATTTAAAAGGAAAATACATAAAGGGATTTTAATCGATGATGAAAATAATTTTAATACAAAAATTAATGGATTAAATAAAGTTAGTAAAACTCAATAAATTCAATCAGCAAACTTAATATTTAACATGCAAATGATTATTGAACACAAACAAACAGAAAAGTTCACACCAAGTTTATTAACCTGTATTTTAGTATATATTAAATAAACAGTTCATTACAGAGCAAAGATATTGTCTACATTTAATAAAACAATTTCCCCACTTGTCAAATAAAAGTCAATGTAAATCTGTCCCTATATTTCATTCATTAGTTATCCTGGCATATTTTAGGGGGGGAGGGCTTTACAGTAGTGACCTGAATATTAAGGCTTACAACACCACCCAGAGAGTCCTCCGATTACTTCAGCTTCCACACTGAGGAAACATCTACTTTTAACCAATTAAAAAAACCCATTCATTAATCTCCATAACATCCACATTATACTACTACACACTGACTATCACTCACTGTCAAAGCATTACAATCTGATTAAGGTCAAAGTAAAGTACGCTAATATCTTTGCAATGTCTAAACCTCTCCCGTATTAAAAGGTTTAAGATCGTTAGAGTCGATTCAACCATTTTCTCAATAACTTTATACTTGTTAGGATGGTGAATGATTTAGTCAAGGATGCACTTATAGGGGGACACGTCTCCGAGGTTGTATTACCAAAGGTTTGTTCTATGTTACTTTCTGTGTGTGAAGAGTTGTGGTGTTTGAGGGTCATATTCCATCACCCTGACACACCTCTTTCTCTTCCATTATCATCAACTCAGCAGACTACACTAATAGCTTTCCTTTTAACTAAATATAAATAGTCTCATGTGAAAGGCTAACTTATATATAAATCTGAATATATGACTACTGTATAAACTTGGTGTATACTTCCCAATATACAATGCCATCTTTGCTTTATGTTAATGAGAAAAATAAGAAATTTAACATCATTACTTACCTGTGTATGTGTGCAGGTAAGTGTAACATTAAACAGTCATGTATAATACTGGAACAAACAGGTAGACACACACATACTGTACATACACACATATTCACAGTACATTTTTACACAGGTATGTTTACACACACATATATATATCTATACTGTATACATATTGGACCAGCACTCTCTCTCTCTCTCTCTCACATATACACGGATGAATGGATGAACGAAAAGACAGACAGACAGACAAACACCCACACAGACGTACAGGTCCACAACACATCTCAGAATCTGCACATCAGCTGGATAACAATCACACAATCATCACATATTCACACATAATGCTAATAATTAATGTTAATATTCTTACATCAAAACAAATTATACTAGGAAAAACCACACAGCAAAAGAAATCTCTAACTTTGATTTAAACAAAGACAAAACATGACATTCAAAGTCTCCCATTAAATCTATAATCCACTTGAAATAAAAAGGAAAACATTTCATCTACTTCATCAACCAACTTACCTCCTCTGTGAGACTGGTACAAGGTCTTCATTATACATAGCTTCACAGGTTATGTGAGCACAGAACTGGGTGTAGTGATTCTGGGTGGCCGGGTTACAGGTGTTCAGGAGTATGTTGAGGCCGAGGGGTTTGAGCGAGAGTAGGTAGCGTCTCCACATCGGGTCGTCAAACTGAAGCCCAAAAGCCGTCTGATGATCGTGGGTCAGCGACATCAACACGGACTCGGATTCTGTAAAATAAAATAAAGATAAAAAGGAAAAATGTTCTCTATACTGTCGCCTAAACATCTGCTTCATAAACTACCATTTTATAAATCAATCCCTACACTGGTTAAAGGCTAATTCACCGAGACGTCTTTTAGTTCAGTAATCACGAGAATCTATTTAAAATGTGTGTGTGTGTGTGTGTGTGTGTGTGCGTGTGTGTGTGTGTGTGTGTGTGTGTACAGAAAAATGCAAGAAGTGTCTGTGTACATCTGTATATAATTTCTCTTTTTTCATGTTACAGTCTGTGTTGCTCTTGATTCTGGCCACCCTATATGGCAGAGGGAAGTGGCTTGTATGAGTGGGGGTTTTTATGAGTGATAAACCAAGACTGGTCAGGAGGGACAGATATATAATGTCAACATCATCTTTGTGTTCAATGCCTGGCCCTTACTTTTGTATGCAATATGCAATATATATAAATCAAAAGTACATTTACACAAAATACCTTTTGTAGGATTTGATAAAATGATCTTCTCAGTTTTGATTTCTTGGAAAAGGGCATCTTCTCCATACAGAGATGGAGCACTGAAAAATATTAAGGATTCATTACGATCAGAACAAAAGAGGACATCGCTATGGTGTTCTAAGTTGCGGTTGAAGAGATACAGTAAATTCACTCTAGTTGTATGATACTGTCAGGAGCTTTATTAAGAGATGAAGTACGAGAACGTCTAAACACAGAGTAAGGAGTTCTCTTCAGTAAGTTCTGTGGGGGAGATGATACACAACCCTGGGGAGAGGACAAGAGGAAGTTAAGCTCCCCCCTTACTATTACTGCACTCTTCACTACAAAATGGTGAACATCTGGTGCATAGTGAGGTAGAACACAGAGAGGAAAAGAAAAAAAGGGTATCAAATAAGGATAAATTCTAAAGAACTTCCAATTAACCCTTAAGCCCCGGGTTAGGGTGCTGCTGGCAGTACCCCCCTCGCGGGGTTAAATCGAAAAAAAAAATCATTTTTTTCCAAAACAAAAATAAAATAAAAAATAAAATAAATAAAAAAAATGGCAGGAAAATAGGCGGACATTCTGGAACGTCACCCGGGGCGCGCTAGTTGGACGTTCTGGACCGGCACCCGGGGCATAAGGGTTAACTTAACAATACAATAATTAACATCCACTTTGTTAAGAATCCTAATAAAGTCATTGTGTAACTATTCTCACACTAAAAACCTTACCTGGAAGCAAGATTATTATGAGCTCTGTTCTTGAGGAAAAACACTTTCTCTGCTGTAGGGTTCGGCCACGACAGAACTCCCTTCTTGTCAACGCAGCAGAGGTTCTGGCCAAAACAACAACAGTAATATATTTACTCATAAGTCACCTGCAAAGCTTTACACACTTCTATCTCACTTGAATGAGTCATCCAGAGTTAACATTTCTCCACAATAAAATACCTCAGACTTCACTCAAACTTCTAAACATAATATCTACACTATTATACATCTGTAATACAGGTACAGTATTTAATATAACACAATAACTCAGCTGGGGTCAAGTGTGGGATTTTTTCGCCAAAATTTACTGCCTCGATTTTATGAAAATGCGTTATTGATTCGGCACAAATGAACCTAAATGTGTAGAATACTAAAAAAAGATATTAAATTCAATTGTCACTATTCAATACCTTCTTTTAAATTCTTTTTAGTTTGTATGAAAATGAAAATATTTTTATAGGGAAAAAAGAAATTAGTATGTTAGTTACTCTTGTTTCTGATTAACCTGTCCCTCTGGGTTGGATAATGTCGCACAGGAGTGAGAAACAAGTATTATGATTAAATACTGTACCACAAGTGTATCTACCGTACCGTTACTGATGCTAAGACATGAAGAACATTTGCAGTTCTTATGGGGGAAGGCTCCTTGCCCGCCATGGTCAGGATGAAGTGCTTCCGGAGTTCGATCCACCTGACCGACATCTCAGACAGCTGCAGGGCCTCGAGCTCCGCGTCCTCAAATGGATCTTCCATCGGGTCACTCTATCAAAGAGGCAGTGGAGGACTATAGATACTGTCACACTTCTCACTAAACTAGCACTCACAATTATATAAGTAAGACACACATGTCCATTCTCCAGTCAAAGGGCAATTAAAATTTTAATAACACATAACCGTTACCGAGATCTGGTTGTGTAAACTTTGCCAATAACATGTGAAAGTTCTCAAACCTGAACAAATCTTTTTTATAAGCGACCAAGAGTAGAGAGAACCACAACCAACCTGCAACTTATTGACATGGTGGTACAAGGTGAGGATCCGTGCCGTACCAAGCCAGTTGAGCATGAGCCACGCTAAGGGGAGACCCAGAGGGATGAGAGGAAGAGCCACACACACAGGACCAATCAGGAGCACCTCAGTCCAGTCTCCAACCCAACTCCCGTAGTACACTCTGAGTGCATTGATGACCAGGATAAGACCCTAGTAAAGAAGGAAGTTGGTTACCTCATCATGTGAAACAACAGCTGAAGTAACAGTGATGCACATACACACCATCTCCATATAATACCTTGATAGATACTAAACTTCAGAATTATCAAAAACAACATTTACACATGAAATTTCTCTTAGGTTTATCATTCCCAACACTGAATCCAATTTACAAAAAAAAAAGCATTATTCTAACCCATGTTACAAGATTAACTCCTGTCAACAACCTGCTGTCAGTTTTCATATAAGAGGATTAGGTTAGAGCTTGATGGGCACCTCCTCCAAATGTAATATTCTAAACTAATTCTTTCTATAAATCTTGTCAGCATCAGAACGGACTAACAGGGACCTTAAACTATATTCCGGTTTCATCACAGAACGTACATAAGATCTAGCACTCGAGGATATAATAACAGGACAATAACAAACGTCTAATACCAAATCCAGGCCTATACTTTCAACATCTTACAAATACTCCTGCTAAACTCTTATAATACTTACCACAACAATGGGTAATATGACAGTTTCCATCGCCCAACTGAACAAATAATAACGTTGCTTGTTGAACACGGTCACTGGCCTGTTAAGAGCCTCGGCAAGTAGGATTCTCAGGTTGGAGATGTAAGGTGTTTCCAGTAGTATGTAAGGAGTGGCTCTGAGGGGTGTCTGGGCCTTGGGGGAGCTGAAGCCCTCCCCAATACCTTCTAGATTTGGGGAATAGATGTCGCCCATGTGTAGTTCTCCCCCGCCCCCGCTGCAACTGTCCTGTAAATTAATATATGAAGTCTATATATATATAAACATCTGTGAGTACTTGTCCCTAACCTTCATGCGACATAAGTCATTCTTTTACCACATTCAAACACCACAATGTCATTCTCTCTCTCAAAAAATAAACTTACCCATCAATAATTGGTGTGTGCATTGTATCTTACTGAATTCTATCTGTTATGAAAGAAGAAATTCCAAAGGGATCACACGAAGAATAACCCCCTTAGCTAATTTCACCTAATCCTAACCTAACCCTCCTAGGTAGTAACAGGGTGTTTAATCATCAGGTGACATAAGCTGGAGGGGTTAATCTTCATGTGAGATTCATTCCATATCTTACCTGCATGGGCCTACATCTAGCAGGAACTTTCTGTCCAGGTTTCATGAGTATAATATCCCCACGCACCAGGAGAGACCAAGGGAGGTTGACTGTGTTACCATCGCGACGAGTCCACTGGAGGGTGATGCAGGGGGGGAGTGGAGGTGAGGATAGTTCTCGGCAGACCACAACACATTGCCGTGGTATTCTGAAAAAAAAAAATGGCACGCATGACACCAACGGAAACAAGCAAGAGTAAGTGACAAAGAAACCTCAAATACTGTAGTTAGGAGAGAACAGTGGTGGGTAGTGGTGTAATGATAAGTGTAGAAAGTTGCAGGAGAGTAGTGTCAAGGTCCTAGTATGAAACAACACACACACTGACGGTACTTTTGTGGGTAACTAAATAAAGAACAGTTTTAAAATTCACAGACAATGTTCGGATATTAATAAAAAACGTTACCGTAAGTCACAATGCTTTACCTTTAAGATCCTTTAAGACGTTGTGTGTGAGTCTTGGGACCTCTTTGTGCCTCAGCTGAGTGTCCCACCACACCAAGTACACGTTAAGAATTACTGCTAAGAAAATGAAGAAGGACTCGGCAGGAAGATGCTGGTACCTGATAATAATAATAAACATATTACATCATCTGTAAATCTAAACAGAACAAAATTCATCTTAAATTCTCTAATGGAAAAATTATTAAGGACATCAGAGTAGTTATCCTATCTGTCAACAAATGGTTGCTTTACTGCTACTGTATGTTTGCTTGTATTTACACTCATACCAAATCATAAGGTCATATATTTTTACCTATGTATGGAGAATATTACACCAGTCCACATTCTCAGGTCAATATATAGCACAGAAAGAATCAAAGGTAACTTCATATGCCTGTTGTATTTTATGGACCCATACTGTACACACCTGGGGTCATTACATGCAGCGAAGGCCACCAGCAGCACGATGCCTTCAACGATCAACGCTATCACTGATGTCCAATGAAACACAGAGAGACTACTCTTGTGGTGGAAGGCTTCATACAGAACACTCTTTGGTCCAAAACCTTTGTTCCTGAAATATAAAACATAATACAGTATCACCAAACATATGAGGTGTTTACAATAGCAAGGGCACATCACTGGGTTGCTCAATTTCCCATTTTCTGTGTCAGTCCATAGCATCATTGTCAGGCAATGTGGATACACCTCCAGCGTGGTACAATCCCATAAGAAACCAAGGGCAGAAAACATGCAGTACAGCCCGAATAATTGAACCGAGTTGAGATATTCGCACATACGCCCTGGTTAGTCTATACGCCTCATTTACAAGAAAGTACAGACTCCAATATGCCCCACAGGTTAATACTGTATTTCAAAATTAATTAATAATCTTTTCTACACTTACTTTTCAGCTTCTGTCTTCTGATATTCATCCAAAGCGATGGAGATGTCCTCATGCAAGAGACTGAGGGCCTCACTTGTGGGTAAGCCATCAGCACTGCAGGCCATTTCCTTCAAAACAAAAGGAAATATTCTACAACAACAACAACATTAAGCAACAAGTTTATAATCATTTTACCAAACCTGACATATAACACACAGGAATGAATGCTACTATCTGCCAGTATAACATCTCCCACCTCCTTTCTTTGTATTTCACTTGAATCAGTTTGTACACAACACAGACGATATATATAACAGTAGAAGAGCTGACGGAACGCTAAGTCATGAGGCCATCACCAGACTGTAATTCTTCTGCCAGATGTCTGTGAGGGATATTTTGCTGATTTTTTTTTAATACGGTACGACAGATGATATATCCAGGGTGAATAGACCACAGGTTCAAACTGACTGCCTTGGTGTATTAATCAATCAAGCCATGTGCGCTGATTAAGCAGATTGAGTATTGCTTTTGAAGACATATTCTGACT